CAGTTGATTTGTATGGTATGTGGTATTTGGGGAACTCACTAAGCTTCGTGCTTACGATTTACAGTTTTGATTTCAGGTACCTTCAGTTTACAGATAAGGAGTTCGGGACGATCGCAACACATTCACCCATATTATTCCGCATTATGTGATCTTTGGGATTAGACTCTAATATTTGTTTTAAATGAAATGTTTTCAGTGTTTGGGACAAAGTTATTAAGTGTTTTCTTATATTAAAAACGAAATTTTTGGTCTTGAATTTTGGGATGTTACACACAATCATATCCAAAAACTTGACCAGTCAGGAAAAAAGATTCACATTTGCCTTTTGATGAGCGTGGGACGGAACCGGTACCGACCCGTACCGTTCCCGATTTCCCGAAAACCAAATTTTATCGAAAGTCAATCCCGAGTACCGAACCGAATTAACATCACCGGTACCGGTACCGGGAATGGTACCGGTTTTCGGTACTAGTACCGGTACCGGTGGACCGAATCCCAAATTTCATGTATTTGGAGTACCGAGTACCGTCCCATATTTTTAAATTCGGTACGGTTCGGTACCGGTTCCGGTACGGTACCGGTTCCGGTACGGTACCGGCACGGGATCGGGATTTGGGACAAAATGCTCGTCCCTAATTACATTCATTCTTAAGGAATACAACTATGAACATAAATTAAATTCATTATGAAAGAATACGACAAATAATGGTTAACAGTTACATTTATTCTTAAAGAATAAAATTGAGAGTGGTTAAAAATCAAATAAAAACATTGAAATTTAAGTAAAACACGAATACATTCGAATAGAATGTTGTTGTCAATCCATTCTGATAGAATATATTGTTAATCAATTTTTAACGAATAGTGTTGCTACTTCTCACATGTTGACACTATATATTCCCATCCAATGTGAATAATACAAAGAATTGGTTTCCAATGACTTGGTTTTGCAAGAAAATCGACCTCAATTCCTCCTGGGCAACACCGGTTGATGAACATTGTTTCCTATTAGAATATGCATTAATTAATTTTATTATAATATTTATAGGTTAAGGAGAACCATTTGACTAAACCAAATATACAACAAATCATTCTATTAGGATATTGATGCCTTGTCTAAGCAACTACAAGAAAATATAAAGTAGTATTAACTCAAGTTTGTACAAAATGTTGCAAAATATATTACTCTTTGATATATAAGATATGTATGAAAAACTAGTTGGTGCAACCTGATAGCATAGTAGCTTCCATAGGAGGTAGTTGGAGTTTTTATTCCATAAAAGAAGAGCTATTTAAATTATATTTTGAACTATGAACTTTTTGTTTAAAATACCAATTTTAGAATTATAATACAAAAACGTATTTGTCCTAAGAAAGAAAAAACTTCTAAAAGTTCTCAAAAACTTCTAAAATTTCTCAAAAACTTATTGCCTAACAATCTAATAATCAAATGAAAACATATTCTGATAATTTAACCATGAAATAAAACTTTTAAACGACAATGTAAGTCTATTTTTCTGTTTGACAAAGTGACGTAGGGAAAACATATGTTTGATAATTACTGCAAAATTTAGATTTGTAACAACAATTTATTTACAACCTTATATCTGAATAATGTAAGTAGAAACATGATATTTCGTTCAATGACTATGGTCTTTAAGAAAAGAATTTAACAATTTTACAGTTAATCAACAATCATACAAGATCTGAGGATCATGTTTTCTAAATATTAATGAAATTGACATCTAGTTCATCGGAAAGAGGAGTATTTGCTAAAACATGGATCAAAAAAAGCTTAAAAGTACTTAGATTGAAGTTAAAAATGTTTACGAGAATCTCAAAACATTTTTTTAATACATAATTTAATTAATTTTCAGAAAGCCCTAAATATTGAGGATATATCGGGGAGAGAATAGAGAGAAACAGATGCAGGTTTGAACCCTAAGTAAAGCGGTACGTCCTTTGTTGCTTCCTCTACAGATCCGATCATGGAGAGGTTCATTGTAGAAGAAAGAGGCGAGAAGGGAGAAGAGTACCTATGGAGGCAGGACCGGTGTGGAGGATAAATACATTGGCCGATTTCCACCACCAATATCATCGCTTTCGCCACCAACGTGAGATGGAGCCTACAACAATCAAAGGATTTCATGGACGAGATCTTGGCAGCCGATGAAGATGTGAAGAAGAGAACCAATGAAGATAGCCTTTTTTGGCGTTGAAGAGATGCATGAAGGCGGCAACGGTGCTAACTCCAGCGAAGGCGGCTATAACGCTCACCTGGACTCTTCGGCGGCTAGGTTTGATGAGACAAAGAAGATTTTCATCAAATATATGAGAGGGATGGTTACGATTTTTGAGAAAGAAATGGAAGACAAAAAGAGACGTGAGATTGTTAAGGGTTTAAGAAACATGTGAGATTTAAACTGATTCTATTAAAAGTCAACGGTTATACCATGATTATAGGAAGAATTTGTAAAAATTATTTATCAAATTACTTAAACACCTTTGTTTATTTATTTAATTATTTAATTTTGTAAAAAAATTGATTAGTCTACAATCAATCCTACATTCAAACATCAGTTAGAATATTTGAACCTACTTTGTTTATATATATATATATATATATATATATATATATATATATATATATATATATATATAGGGTTAGGTTATTTTGTTTTTACTAACTATTGTGTGCCAGAATGCACAGATTTGGACCATCGGATGGAATATAATCAAATGTCATGATCTGAGGGTCTATGATAGTAGAATAGGATAACATGTACCATATAATCACACAAATTTCAGCATAAGGGGATTTTAGTCAATTAACCTATATTAAAAAAGGAAATTTTCGGATTTTTAGGGATAATTAATTCATTTATTTTTAAAAATCTGAATATTTTAAATTAATTCAAAATTAAAAATCCGATTTTATTCTGTCAGAATGATAGAATATTAACCATAAACTAGTAAATATATTTTTCGATTTTATTATGTCAGAATGACAGAATGCCAACCATAAACTAGTAAATACATTCTGAAAAGAATACACAAAATCAATTCTTGAACTAATAATATACCAAATAATTACATTGTATGATTGTGATTCATTGAATAATAACATTCTGAAAGAAAAAAGAAAAAAACATCAAAATCTAATAAAAACACTAATCTATTCTGAGAGAATATTATTTTTAAGCAACACTTGTTGTTAACAATTATTCTCAAACATTCTAACAGAATACATTTATATAAATAAATTCTAATAGAATACATTACATAATTCAAGAGTTGTGATTGAATACATAATTCAAGAGTTGTGATTAAATATAGAATTCAAGAGCTGTGATTGAATCATCAACACACATCTGCATTCATTCCCAGACATGAATTCAAGAAACAAACACATTATTAGGTCTTCAACTAATGCTTCCAGCCATTCCTATCACAAAATACAACAAAAACTAATAATGGTTAAAAACATGTTACTTGCAATTAACTATCACTTTATATATTCTGGTAGAATACATAGAATATGATAGAATACATATAATATATTATGACAGATCTAAGTTGTGAGAAGAATGAAATTTAAAACCCTAGATTTACCTGCATTCGCTGGCCAAAATCTTAGCATTCTATTGTATATTATTCTACCAGAATAATACATTCTCTGTTGAATATTCTAAAGGAATAATTCTTTGTTGAAGCTGTAATCAAGATACTGAAAGAAAAAACAATTATGTGTCATATTATGGAGTTTAATCCTTAATAAAAAAATTCACAAATAACACCGAAAAACATGCAACATAAAACATTCTTAAAGAATCATTAAACTAAAAGCACAATTATAATGTAAAATTCTAACAAAATGTGTATATGATATAGAATGTATATATTTTTGAAACCAACAAGCACCTTCTGGTTCTTAAATTACAAACAAATTCAAAGTTTGAGTTATTCGATTGTTTCAACTTGAAATTACAGTTTCTATACAAACATTATACAAATTAAAAAATTTAAATATAAAATATTAAAAAGAAAGTTATATAGCATTACGATGGTCGATGGTCAAACTATTCATACTACTTCATAATACAGTGATTCAATTCAAACAAAAAGATGCACAAATGAAGTATACAGATAAAAAAATGGGAACATACACCATATTGGTTCGGTTAGTAGATGAAAGTGTTATGAGATAAGGGTCATCGTTGTATAAGTGCAAAGAAATCATATTAAAAAATGGAACAAAATCGATTATTGCAAAATCAGAATCAATTCAAATAAGTTATAAAGAATTCGGTTCAAACAGTGCAATAAGCAATTTCAGAAAGCGAGGTTCAAAACGATTGCAATAAGCGATTTTAGAAAGGGGGTTCACAAAATCGATTACCTAAAACGATGGAATAGGCGACAGATGATCATTGACCAACGGGATGGAACCGGTGGAAGAAGGGGAAATCATCAATCGCTGTCAATGGGGGTTTTAGCATCTCCGATTAGCGGAAGAAGAAAGAAGAAGAGGGTAGGTTTGGGTGGTTCAGCCGACGGAAGGGGGGGGGGGGGGTTTAGGGTTAGGGATGTTGGTTTTGTAGGGTGATCTTGTTTAATGAATACTCTGATATATAGAATTAGGGTTATGAAGATGAAGGAACCATGATTTAAGGGATCAAATACGTGATATTTTATTATTTCCTTAATTATAGGATTCCAATTAAATTATTTCCTTTAATTAAAAGCACAAAAAGTCAAAAATACCCTTTAATGATTTATTTAATTATTTATTATTTCTTGAATTCTCATTGGTGCATTTAGGCACACAATAGTTGCTAGAAACATTTTAACCTAGCTATATATATATATATATATATATATATATATATATATATATATATATATATATATATATATATATTATTTGGGGGCATCCATCTCCAAACTTCAACAAAAAGACAAATCATTCCTTCATTCTCATTCTCTCTTTCACCGTCACCATGACCAAAATCGGCTCCCTCCGTCGAGTACTCTTCCCCTGTTTTACGTCTAGTGCGAGCATTTCCGACATCAGAAGCACGACCACCACCAAGAAACGCCTCAGCACCTCCCTCCGCGACGACATCAACCCATCAACAGAAACAGAAGAAACTCCAGTTTCCGATGACCAAGAAGATCACGACTCAGACTCCTCCTCCCCCGTCGTACACTCTTCCCACAACCCAATGGCACCACCACGATCCTCCAAAACCATGGTCATCGGCACCATCTTCGGCCACCGCCGCGGCCACGTCTGGTTCGCAGTCCAACACGACCGTCTGAAAACAAGACCTTCGCTCCTCCTCGAGCTTTCCATCCCAACCCAGTCCCTCGTTCAAGAAATGCGGTTTGGGCTCGTCCGATTAGCCCTCGAATGCCACAACTCACCTGAATCTGAACTTGGATCATGTCCACTCCGGTCTGTCCCCGTCTGGACCATGTTCTGTAATGGTCGGAAAGTAGGGTTTGCCGTCCGGAAAAAAGCCACCGAACCAATCCGTCTCATGCTCAAATCGATTCAATCCACGACTGTGGGTGCTGGCGTTATTCCATCTTTTGGATTTGAATCCGGCGGCGATAATGGCGGTGAGCTGATATACATGAGGGCTAGCTATGAATGCATTATGGGTGGACCAGATTCTGAATCTTTTCATCTGATTAATCCAGATGGGTGTCTTGGTCAAGAACTAAGCATCTTCTTGATGAGGTCACGGTGACCATTTTGGGGTTCAAGATTTCTTGAAAATTATGGAGTTTTCTTGATTAATTATTATTATTTGTTTTTTAGTTGGAAAATATATTTTGTTTAGAAGGCAGGCAAATTTTTATGTAATATTTCATGGAAGAGGGGTAGATGAGTAATTTTGTTGTTAATTACTCTACTAACATGTATTGATTCAAATGTGAACAAAATCTCGTTGTTTTTATGATAGCCGTTTGATTGATTTCATTACGCATGAATATATTTAAATTATTTTTTAATTTTAATATTTAAATTGTTTTTAATTTTATGGGTTAAATGTGTGTAAGGAAAAGATTAATTAAAATCGAAACACTTACGGATAAAATGCTATCAACATATATATCTTTTTGTATATAATTTACTAGTTGTGAGACCATGTATTACATGGGTTAATTTAAAAAAAGTTACATATAAATGTCAAAATATTTTAGAACTTTGAATTTATAAGAAAATAAGAAAAATAATGAATTATTATAATATGTTTTTTTTCTTTTAAATTTAAACAAATAATTTAAGTAAATAAAAGAAACTAATAAACTTTAATTTTAAGAATTTTGAAATTAAAAGGTAAGTTAATTAATGAAATTGATATCCATTTTATTATTATATTTATTGCAATTATTACATTAAAATATTATGTGAAATTTATAAAATTGAAAAACTCATAAAATGACATGTGTAAAAAAAAATTAATTCAAAATAACCACAAAATGACATTTGGGAAATTTAATGAGAGTGTGACAAGTGTCAAAAAAAACTTTCATTTATTAGAGAAGATTAGATTGTGTTAAGTAAAAATAGTTAATTATTTATACGAAACAAAATATATGAAATAAAAATTGTTTCGGATCAACACCACGTGTCTATTCGGAGAAAAAGACAAAAATTGTTATAGTTTTACACAATTTACAAAATTTAACATTCTCCAAAATAAAACTATATAAATGGTGGACACTACAAAAATGGGCCTTATTCAACCGGGTGTTGTCCCCATAATTAAGCTAATGGTTAATTATCTAAAAGGGAATTTTGATTTTTGTTTGTATTTAAATAATTTTATATTTTTCAATTTGACGAGTCAACTTGTTTGACGTGATTTAAATAGGATAATATTAGTAATTACCGATGATATTATCATATTGTGTGTTAGAAAATAAAGGAATATAATAACAATAAATAGAAACTTTGATAGATTCAACGTTCGTGTTTATTAAATATTTTTCGAAATCTGTAATTCGTCCATTTTGTCTGTGGTATAAGAATTCAGAAGTGGGATAATCCAAGGATGAACCAATATGAATTACAAGCCTAATTTAGATTGTGAAACATAGAATACCTTTTTGTTTTTGTGTTCTTGAGAGATAGAACAAATCAATGTATGATTTTCATGTATGTAAGTGCTAACCCGTTTTCTGGAACCAGAAAACATTCTTATACTAGAGGGAAATATGGTTATTTTCGGTTGCATGCAAAATTGGCGCCAAAAATTGTTAGTTAATGGAAATAACTAACGTCTGCATCTTCATGATGTCATCTAGTAAGCTTTTGGCGGGAAAGTGCATGGTCGGAGTCTCACCCGATAAAAAATCCGTTTAGGTTTCGGGGTGTCAGGGGCTCTGCCCCTTGGACCCAACCAAGGGGTTGCATCCCCATAGAACCCTGCACCGAGGGGTGTTGCCCCCAGACCCCCCGTATTCCCGAGTTTACATTTATCACTCCGAGTGTGCACCCAACACCTCCAATTCAATTAGTAAAAATATAACTCACCCTATCTCAATAGTAATAATAATTACTCCAAAATATGTTGATAACACTAAAATCACCAACATTCCTTCCCCATTTTAATGCAATGCTTAATTAACTAAAAGCGAACACAAAATCAAACTAATGCATAAATGAAATATCTTGAAGATTGAATTTTCACATTAGTATAATATACATGTCAAACACTCGAAAATCAGGGTGTCCTAAGGATTGAACCCTTCATGTAACATCCCAAAATATCAAGGTAAAATTTTCATTTTTAATACAATCAAAACACCCATTTATCATTTACTTGAACACTTAGATGTATTTTATAATAAAACAGTGATCAGAGTACAATCCCAAAATCATACAGTTGCGGAAAAACATGGGTGTATGCGCTGCGATCAAGCCGGGCCCTTCCCTTTCGAAGCGGAAGTACCTGAAACCATAGACAACAACTTATAACACAAAACTTAGTGAGTTCCTAAAAATACCACATACCGTACATAACATACGAGCCATACATATAAAACATGCAATAGGAGGTGCTATGTGCCAACCATAGTCTTGCCATTATGCCAAGAGCCGTATCATGGTCTTTCTTTGCCAGGCCAAGGGCCAAAACCATGGGTCTTATATAGAAGTACTAGGAGCCACCTCATGGTCTTCCATGCAAGCATCAAAAAGACATCTAGCATACAATCTACATCTAACTGTCTACTTAACTGCCAGGGTCCGAACCATGATCTTGCATACAGATTTGCCAGGAGCCACTTCGGATCTTTCATACAAATGCCAAAGGGCCACCCTCTGGTCTTTCCATATTACATAAGCCAATGGGCCAACATTTGTGTCTTCGACCCATAGTACAGTGAGGAGACTCACCTCAGACAGCTGAAACCCACGGAAAAATCCCTGCTGCAGATCAGCCAAAATTCTCGCGCTATCAAACACCAGAATAACATTTAATTAATAATTAGGTCCTGAATCATATTAAGATTCCAAATTAGGGTAAACGACCTTTTTACCCTTCCTCTAACTTGGCCCAAGGCCAAGGCCCAACCCAGATGATCAGAAGCCCAAAATCTAAAATAATCATCCAAAGCCCAATTGTGGCCCAACTTTCCAAATTGGGCCCAATCCCTTTCATGGGTCATCTCCCAAGAAAATCCAACAAAATCTCAACATCCCAACCAATGAATTCTGATGGCCCAAAATGGCCCAAGACAACCAAGCTCATCCTAACCCAAAACAGAAGCACAAAAGAAATCCAACCTGCTGAGTACGCGGGGCGTACTCTGCCTGTACGCGTTGCATACTGCTTAGAGGGATTGTACGCGCAGTGTACATGCTTGTACGCCCCGCGTACTCACGAGCTTAGCCAACTTTTCCATTTCAGCTCTTAATCCAATAAGACTTCGATCCAAACTCAGATTTGACTTCCTTAAGGTGGTTAATCACATAAAGTTGCCAACTTTATGTGCATTCATGGCTTAATGGGGGCTCTAGAGCTCAAAGGAGCTTAACAAATGACTTAATACTTGCATGAGACCAAAACCACCATAAAGTTTGCACCTTTATGCATAAGGAACCCTTAATGTGTCCAGATCTGTAAAGCTAAGCTCCAAAAACAGCCTTAACACCCAATCACTAGCCAAGGAGACCTAAAATGACCAAAAACATACCAAAGAGTAGATCTATGAAATGAAATGGCAAGGTTTGAACTTTATACGTTACGAGCCACCAAAAGAAGATGATAAAGCTGGATCTCAAAGCCCTCCTCGAAATAATGAGTCTTCAAGTTTCTTCTTCCTCCTCTAGGTGCACAAAACCCTCCACAAGAGCTTTACAAGAGCTCAAAATCACCAAACATAGGCTAAGGGGCGAATTAGGGTTTTCACGGGTGAGGAGGCTGGTTAAACAAGGCAAAAATATGATAACTTATGGCTTATATAGGGTACAACCCTTAAATTTAGGGTTTTCCTTTCCTCCTCGTACTCCATGCGTACTCCTCGTACGCACAGCATACGAGGCCTCTTACCCGCGGCCATCCACCATTAGTATGTTGAGCGTACACATGAGGTACACCCCGCGTACTAGCTTTTCAGCTAGTACGCTAAGCATACCCTGTTGTACGCCTTGCGTACTACTTACAAGGGTCAAATTGCAATTCTTCCAATTCCGGAGGGCAACTAGGAACATCTCCATTTCCAAGCATTACAACTCTCCCCCACTTAAATTAGATTTCATCCTTGAAATCGTTCCTTACCATCCCAGGCACACCAGAAAGCTTGAATAACATAATCACAACCCCAAGCGTACAATAGCCTTCCCAAAGGCAACTAAACCCAACCTTAGCAGAACTCTCCAACCCGATGAATAACAAATCCTTAATCCCATACAGAAAACCACTTCTACCCTCCAAAACCTGAAATATCGAATTAGTATGACTCCCTGACAGACCGCCCACACGGAACCATTACCCGTCTAATCCTCATTGAATTCTAGACGAAACAAAACACTTCCAACCCTTGATTATCTTGATGCTTCTAATGGGAACAAAATCATTGACCATTCATTGTTGCAGAATACTTTTACTTGATGGAAGGCTCAGATAATCCTTTCGAGTAGAAGACTCATCCCTGCAATGGTTAAAATCAAACGAGAGCTGCGTAACAGGGTCTAATCACTTACTATAAGATTATCTAATCCAAGCTGCAAGTGGCTTAGCATATTCTACGAATAACAAGCGACTCCACACATGAGTACCAAATCACTAATACCGCCTAGACTTATCTCGATGCTCCTTAGCTGCTTTCCAAAAAGCAGTCGAGACCTCCCTGGTCCCAATTTACCTGCCCACTAACCGATTCACCGGATTCCCCCGGTTGCTGAGTCGAATAGACACACAGTCGCACCACGCGACTTTCGAACAAAAGCTTCATCTGACAACAATTACCCTAGTTATCTCGCCACTATGAGTCCAACAATATTTCTGATTCAACCAATCATAACAGCCCGACAAACCTGGCGCCAACAAATCCAATGCTAAAAGTGAATGCTACATGACCAACTGTAGTCTTATATCACAGCCGGCCTCAAACGACCTACCACTTCCTAATTCCATGAATGTTGTGGCCTTCCCACAGTCTTACAAACTGACCTACTCTGGTTTAATCCATTTGAAGAAATCCAATCATAGACTTTCCACACCCTCACCGCTGCACA